AGCTATTAAGTCACCGTAATTTATATATTTTTTATATGTTATGTCGCACCGAGATGTGGGGACCCTAAAATTAGGAATTAACCTTTTAGGAGAAGAAAATACCATTATTATAATAAATAAAAAATCTCACATAAAATTTGTTTTTAATAGTAGAGTGTATATTTAATTCTTGTCATAAATATTGAGTGTTTGGGTTTAAATTAGACTCTTTTCTAAATGTACAGTTTAATTTTGAGTCTCTGATAACGCGAAATACGGGGTCAAATACGTTATATTAAATTGAACACGACTGGGGGTTACAAAGTTCGAATAGATCACATGTGGTTCGTAATTCGAAGACCTGACACACCCGGACAATGGGTCCTAGGTTTACAAGCCCTTTAAGCTGTCGTTTTCCCTCCAGCCAAAAGTCCTTTCCTTCTGCATTTAATGCGGTATTTATAGGGCCATGAGGAATAGTGTCCGGTCCTTCGGCATGCTCGCCGCGTGGTAGGCATGCATAAGACACCTAATCGGCCGAGTTAGGAGGCGCCACGTGGCGTCGTCTGCCACTGTCACTTCATCACCACGATGTCGGTGCGCTCGGTACTGTTCACAATTGCCCGGGCGGAACATAAAGTCCTCCGTCAAGATCGCTCGATCTGCTCTCGAGTTCAGAATTGAGACCGTATGACCGGTTTGACCTCGCTATTGACCAGAATGATCTAAGTACGCGATACAGTATCTGACAGGTTGAATACCGGTCAAAACCCAGGGGTTAATCCTTATCAGTCTCGAAGAAGATATAGTATGACGAAGTGAAAAATTTTTAACTTATAAAAATAATAATTTTAATTTTTGCTCCGAAAATAGTGATTAAGTAGGTGAAACATAATTTTTATACAAAAACTGATTCTTGTTAACACTCTTTTGATTAAATTTATCACATAAACTTTCTAATGTAATTTACATCTTCTATGATTTTTATTAAGTTATTACATTGAAATGAGGTTTAGTGAATGTATATATTTCATGTTTTCTTTATTTCATGTTTTCTTTTGTCACACAAAAATAAAAAGTAATAGTTTAAGGGCATTTTCGTCATTTAGATTTATATATAGACAGGAAACGAGGAAAATATTGGAGAGAGAGACAGAGAGAAGACGAAGGAGAGAGACAGAGAGAGAGATAAGGGAGAGAGAGAAAGAGAAAGAGAAAGAGAGAGTGAGAGCAAACAGGGAAGGAAGGAAGAGCCGTTAATTTCCGTTAAAAGTATATGAAGCTGAGCCATGGCGTCGGACCAAGAGATTGCGAATGGGGTGGAGGCTTTGCTCCGTCAGTCGGACCCTAACGCCGTCATTTCGCTAAACGGCGTCGTACAGCAGCTCGAAGCTAAGCTCGGCTTGGACCTCTCCCACAAAGCCGGCTTCATCAACGACCAGATCAACCTCCTCCGGTCGAAGCCGCAACCGCCGCCGCCGCCGCCGCCGCTGCAGCAGTCAAGGGACCATTTTGCCCTTCTGCACCACCAACAGTTCCCAACCACCCAACCAGAACAGTTCTATCCCCATTTTGCCCTGCAGCAGCAACACTACCAGCACAGCGCCGTCCCGCCGCCGCCACAGCAGCTCCGGCCGGCGGTTCTGCACCAGCAAGCTCCGCCGCCGACGATAGTTAGGCTCACAGCTGCTCAGAATGTAGTTCAAAATGCCGCTCAAGCTCCTAAAGAAAGGTTCGGTTTTTACGTGAATTCAAGCTACGTTTATGCTTGTCTTACAATAGTTAGAGCTAGAATTTGCATTAGTGTTAAATTACATTATTTTGTTGCTAAATCCCCATTTTCTTTCATAATCGTAGCTGTAATTACGTTTTCATTGTTCTCTGCTAAGGTTTTAAGGAAACACAATAGTCAATCTTTAACTTTCCATGGCAGTAGCAACAAATAGAGCAGTTGCATAACATGTTCCTTAAAAAAAAAACTGCATATAATGTCCCAGCAAGGTGGTTGGGCCGCTGACTGCGTGATCACAAAGTTACAAGCTCCGCTCCCAGTGAGTGGTATAACCTACTGGCCTTTTTAGTTTGAGCCGATCAGCTATGAACAATCTAGACTGGTTTTAGTATGTGAAAATATAGTCTCAACCAAGATGGTCGGACTATTGACTTAGTAACCACAAGGTTATAAATTCGGCTCCCAGCGGTATGGCCTATTGCCCTTTTTTGGTTTAAGTTGGTTAGCTCTTGGCAACCTAGACTGGTTTTAGGGGGTGTTTGGTAAATTGCTGGTAGTTGATTAAGTTAGTTGGTTTGACTAATTGATAGCATTAACTGATTGTAGAAAAGTGTTTGGTAAATTAGCTGTTAACTTATTGCATACAAAATGACTTTTTCAAAAAGCTGATTGAAGAAGCTTTTTGAATTTTAGCATTTTGGAGCAATAAGTTGTTACAAAAAACTAATTAATCAAACATTCATATCTATTGTTTAACCAAGTCAAACAGCTAATAGTGATCAAATAAGCCAAAATTAGCTGATAGCCTAACTAGTTTACCAAACAGGGCTTTAGTCTTTGTGAAAATATGGGGATGTATTACATCTTCCCCTTTCGTATACACTGCACGTTAATGGAGGGTTGCATTAGGTTCAAGTGTTCAACCTTGAATATACATGTCTGAACTTGATCCATGCTGAAGTGTCTTTTGTTTTTGCTCGTTTTATTCAGTACTACTACTGCTGGGACCAAAAGGAGAGGAGGAGCGGGTGGACTGAACAAAGTCTGTGGTGTATCGCCTGAACTTCAGGCTATTGTTGGTCAGCCAGCGCTGCCTAGAACTGAGGTCGTGAAGTGCATAGACGAAAAACGTCTTTGTGTGAGTGAGCGTGATGTTGATTAGAGTAAGGACTAATGCGCCTTTCTTTTCCAAACCAGATTGTGAAGCAGCTGTGGGCATACATAAGGAAACACAACCTTCAGGACCCCGGGAACAAAAGAAAGATCATCTGTGATGATGCCTTGCGGGTAGTCTTTGAAACGGACTGCACTGACATGTTCAAGATGAATAAGCTGCTTGCCAAGCATATTCTCCCACACGATCCAACAAGTATGTACAAAACATATACTCCATAAAAGATTGCTTTTTGTGGGTTTTGCCTTATAAAATTGTCTATTAAAAATTTGCAGAACAACCCGAGCAAGCTAAGAAATTGAAGGTTGAAACTAATTCGGAACCAGATAACACAGAATCTGCTTCACCTTCAGTGATGATATCAGATGCTCTTGCCAACTTTTTTGGATCTGAAGAAAGAGAGATGCTCCAATCGGAGGCACTCAGGCGTGTTTTGGAGTATATAAAGGTTAACCATCAGGAGGTATGTGGTGGGTTTTATGCAATTTCAAATTTCAGTCTCTTGGTTGTATACATTTTACTATGTGTTTGCAATAATTCAAAGAATTAATTGCACACTATTAAACCAGCAAAATAAACTTTTGTGCTTTACCCGAGGAAAAAAAATGATTAGAAAAAAAGGCGGGAGTAACTACCTGAATGTTTGGTTGTTTTTTTTGCTGTTTGTCTGGTCATAGGACTCTCCAAATTCTACAGTAATTCAATGTGATGCTAAGCTTCAGGAGCTTTTTGGATGCAAAAGCATTTCCACTATGGAAATACCCGAGAAGTTGGTACGCTATCATTTGTTCCAGCGGCAATGACTTCTGTAGCAGAAAACGGTAAGCAAACAACCTTTAAACATTAGTTCATACATGTTTGGACCGACCTTATGCTTCCTTGATTATAAGTATGGACTTGGTGTAGTGGTCAAGTGCCAGTCCTCGACTATTGTAGATCACTCGGTCTTGGAAGATTCCTTGCATGATGCAAATCTCTTAGACTCTTACGCCATTGCATATATACATATATATATCTTTTGTCATAACAAGCGTTTTATTTTGGTCATCTGTGAACTCCTCCCTTCATGATTTTGTCCGTTTCTTTTCCTGGTGAAGTTCGTTTATAAGTAAGCTTGACTGTGGTGAAACATACTTCAAGCCATGGTGTTTTTTTTATATTGTTTTGCAGATCTATTCGGGGCTGTAGCCTGTACCCGTCTAGTTGATAAGATATGACTGATGATCTGAAGCTGTACTGTATTTGCTTTTAGTTTCTCTAGCTCGTTAACACTGTTAGAATCAACCATCCAACTATGTATCCTGGTCATATGGCTATAATCGTTTTAGAATTATGCCAAAGGCCTCGGTTTAGGTTTAAGTTGCCAGTCTTTAGACGCTTCTTGTAAAATGTGTATCATCATCCTCCATTAACAGAGTTGGTAGTTTCTCTGAAAACCTTGGGATTTAGTTGTAATGTCTTGTTGCAAAGTAGGGGCCGTTTTTCGTTTCTTGATTCTATCGTTATGTGTGAATATCGTGATTCAAACAATTGAAGTTTAGCGGATCTGTGTATCGTACTATCATATACATTTTCTGCAATCTGCATTATCTTCCAAACCTTATTCTATGTCTTAAGGTACATTTAGATTTTACAAGAAAGAATATGAATGCTGCAATGCAGAGAAGAGCACAGAGTATTTTCAAAGCCCTCTGTGTTTTATCTCTCACAGATTCTTGAGAATTCATCTTTTCCTTTGCATTCATCAACTGAGACATCATTTTCTGCACAAAAACACCTCTTTTCACTTATGAGTTCAGGAGTATGCAAATTGTGTACTGGTGTTAATACCAGGTTTAGTCCTCGACTTTGGTGATGTTTTTTTCGATTTAGTTCTCTACCGATAATTCCGTCATATACTTTTATAGTTCTATCAAATTTAGTCCTCTGTCAAACAATCTATATCCTTGGTTTTATGGTTCCAAATACCTATGAGTTTTACTACATGGATTTCTAGTCTCTACTCTCTCACTTTTACTCTCTTACATGACAAATATTGATAAGTTATCTTCATTTTGTGGATCATAAGAAAAATTTTGTGGTAGTTATGACATGTGGATTGCAAACTCAATCAATAGGCATACGATATAAAACTAATGCTTAGAGTTTGAGTGAGATTTGTGATCATTCTTGTTACATATAGTAGATGGCGTTCAGAATTATTGATGGAGAATTAAATATGAAAAATCACCGATTGAGAACTAAGTTTGGTATTAATTCTTATAAACTACTTACCAATCTAAGTGGTTCCATATGAAGGAGTGGCTCCATAAACATCTCCACGTTCCTGAATTACCCGTATCTAGCATTAGCATTCAACTATGGCGAAATGGACCATGCTGTCCACCCTTACTTTTACCACTCACAAATCGCCACTTCCTACCACATAAGATTAAAGATTATAAAAAGAAAATTAATTTTTTTTTTTTAAAGAAGGAAAACTAATGTCTAGCGTTTTGTCACGTCATGAATTAATTATTTTGTGAGTGGTAAATGTCGGGGTGTACAGCATTTTTCTGACAAAACTGGCCAATAAATAACGAGAACCTGCTGTATTAAATGGATTATTCATACCTTATTGTCACTTTCCCTTGATAGAGATGACACATGATGAAGCTGAAACCTTTTCCCAGAGGTGCATGAGTCTTTGTGCATTCTGGAACACAAGATACCATATCAGAAAATGTATACACCACCATATTTGCAGGCAGGTTAAAACTGCACAGAAACTCGGGATAATCCCAGCCAAGTTGGTTAGGCTGTTAGCTTGATAACCGCAAGGTTTCAAGTACAGGTTAAAACTGCACAGAAACTCGGGACAATCCCAGTCAAGTTGGTCAGGCTGTTGGCTTGATAACCACAAGGTTCCAAGTGCAGGTTAAAACTGCACAGAAACTCGGGACAATCCCAGTCAAGTTGCTCAGGCTGTTGGCTTGATAACCACAAGGTTCCAAGTGCAGGTTAAAACTGCACAGAAACTCGGGACAATCCCAGTCAAGTTGGTCAGGCTATTGGTCTGATAACCGCAAGGTTCCAAGTTTGACTCCCAATGGGAATGACCTATCGCTCTTCTTAGTTTGAACCCGTCAGCTATGAGTAACCTAGGCTGATTCCTTTACCCGTTAGGGTCAGAAAGCAGGGTTTACCACTTTACCCAGTGCACATTCTCGGATAATGGCTACGGGTTTCCCTCGTTACTAAACAAAAAAACTGCAAAGAAATGAGATTGGCTACCTAGTTTCCATGAAATGCTAACATCCATTCCATCATGCAGTGAGGGCTGCACCACAAACTCAATGTTGTTCCCTAAGCATTTAATCAGAGAAGAGAAGAAATCTAGTACTTGCTGCAGAAAGTATTCATGAAACAGCCTGTGAAAATTAAACAGAAGGTGAATGCAGTTTTCTTGTTCTTCCTAACAAGCAGCAATATGCTTACCTTCTTTCCATGGAAAGCCTGAAATCTGTAGACAAAGTTGCTTATGCATCGACATTCTTCCCCGATCAAATCGGAAACTTCATCCATGTTCTTCTGTCTGATTGCCCTGTAAAGCCTAAGGACTGTTTCCATAGCTCTTTCTTCATCTCTCTCTGAACCTTCTGAGTCATTCAAATTCTTGCATGCAACTGGCAACAGCCTCTTGTTCTCAGAGAAGATGGTCTGAATCGAAGCTAATTTATTCGATTGAATTCCCGAAGATTCATATGCTGCTGATGATGATGATCTGTGTGGAAAAGAGATCGTTTTGATCAGGAGAACGCATGGCTTTCGTTCTTGATATGGAACAGAAAACCAGTTGGGGGCGGTTTTCGTGGGAGGAGGAGAGGGCATTACAGAGATCAAATCCATAAGAAAACCGAAATCATCATTAATTGAGATATATACTTCATCATGTGTTATGGAGAAGATGGATATCTCAAGAAAAGATTTGCTTTTGCAGGAGTAAAGCAACACAATTCTCCATCTGCAAGCTTGGAATCTTTCATGACAGATTTGCATATGCATTAACATGGCCACAAGAACAACTCTTATTAGGCATTCTATCACAAAACAAAAGCAATTTAAGCTGCCTAATTAGCTTTGTTGTTGTCTAGTTTAATTTTCACTGGTTTTCAGCTAGAATTTGATGAGTTTTTCACTATAATTTTGGACTTAACAATGTTCGTTGTACAGTTAAATTTACCTTCACTTGCGTCGAAGTTTAGGGTATAGCTGGTTTAGACCGCTCTTGCTAGCTAGGAATCGAACTTCCAACCAACAGTCTAACAGTCTCACCAACTTGGCTGGAGTTGTCCGTTAGAAAAATAGTGTCTGGATTTGATGGGGATGACAAAGGATCAAACACTTCACCCTTGTAATCACTTCTTGAACCACCATTAATCAGCCACTGAGTCCGGGTCCGGGTCTGGTCCAATCAACCTTCGAAAGACTTGACGAGGTCCCATCTATCACTGCTCTTTTTTTATTTTGTTGACTCGATATGACATAAATTTATGTAACTATACTCTATTTTCCTTCATTTAAAAAAAGGGGGTTTTAGGACAATTTAGTCATGGTGTAACATCAATGGGCACTACATGCATAAATTTTTGCAAAAACCTGAAACAGTTTTTGAGGAATGCCAGCTCTATTTTAGCGTTTAAACAGTAGCGGAGACGACGACAATCACATCGATCATTTCAGAAGCAATCATGCATGCATTCTTTCATTCATGTTCTTCCGACCTAGAACACTCTTTCTTTTTCGAGGTCGAACCAGATCAGACCACGATGGATACATGCCATTGTCGTCTCCCTCTCGTCTTCGATCACGCAGTTGATGCTTCTTCCTCTTTCTATTACAAACCAGAATTCGACATTCGAATACGATGCCGCACAAAATTACACCCATCCCTGTCGTGGGGCCTCTATTATTGACCAGGCCTGGATTCTCGGGGGTAACGTAACGTGATCGATATGATATGATGGAGTTAGCTAGCTAGGTTGTTTTATTTATTTATTCATTTATTTAAATACTTAGGTAATCCCGACCATAATAGAGGTACATTGCGAGTCATACAATCAATTCGTCAGTCAAACTTTAGTTTTCATATGCGCACAAAAGGCCCAATTCACACCTTATCTTTTAAAATTGGAGATGGGACAGGGTGGGTATCCTCGTCCCCATCCCATCTTTGACGGGAAATTAAAAATAATTTTCATCCCGATTTTCGTTTCTCAAAAAATTTTCCCATCTCCATTTTCCTTTGGGCGGGGATCAGAGGTCCCTGCCGGATATGGGAGAAATTGACATCCTTAACTACAACTATCAAAGTGGGCTAGCGGGAAAGGACCCACCAAAACTAGTCACTTTGATAGGCGTAGAAAAGGATAGCCTTGCAAACCCTAAAAATTAAGTTTAATTAAATCATAATTTTAAAAGTTAATAATTGTATACTAAAATAATTTATTAAAACAATTTGACTTTGGAATATGGTAAAATAGTTCCAACCTTCGTCCGAATAGAGAAATTCATCTCCAAATGGAGACCGGTCAAAGGCAGCCAAGCAAGCTGAATCTCATGAATTCGTCCCCAAGTTCATGAGAAGATAAATTGAGAGACTCAACACCAAGGTAATCCAAACCACCAATGTTTATGGCACGAATTGAACCACATCTTCTAATCCACTAGACCAATGTTCGGGGTTGTTCATTTTATATTTGATTTAGGAACATGTTGATTTCCCTTCATGATATTTGATTAAGGAAAATGTTTATTTCCCTTCCTAATTTCACCTCCTTAGGTGACAATAATATTCAATTGGCTCACTTTATATTTGATTAAGAAAAATATTTTGTTTTCGTACATTTTTCACGGTGTAGCATCTCTCCTTGACATTGCTAAGTTATACGGCTCATTAAATGAATAATGTTAAATAGTCAACACAGTTTCCTTCCTAGATTGTATGATTTTACATTTTTTCAAGTCAAGCACTAAAGAAAATGCATGAGGTGAAAAAAGAGGAAAATAATTTAGTATGATTATTTGATTAATAAATAGTTTCCTTTTTTTTTTTTTTTTTAGGCTAGATAGGGATCAAACCACCCAATTCACCATAGCTAATGAATAATAAATAAAGTAGCCAAGCATATTATGCTCAGATGGCACTTATGTGGCTCATTGAGAGAAGGTCACATGATCAAACACCGGTGATGAAGTCTTGACTTTTTGAGCTGCAATAAATAGAGAAAGTATACTACCTTGTAATATAGAGTCAATAGTAAAAAAAAAATTAAAAAAAGAAAGAAGTAAAATTAAGAGAAAAAAACAACATCATTCAAATTTTTAACCCCTTTTATAAAATGTTTTTTTAAAAAAAAAAAATACAACTAATGACGTTAGAGATCGAACTTGTCATTTAACCACAAGGTCTTGAGCGGATTAAAAAAACAGCTTTGAGAACAAATTATGTGAGGTCATGAAAAGAATTGTATTCATTAATGAGAATAAAGCAGAGTATAAATATTGTACAGGAGAGGAGAAATATAGGGAAGTTACAAGAGAAGTTCCAACAACTGACTAGTCTACATGAACATATTTACAACAACTAATTAAACACAAATAGTATCAACTAACCACATATATGCTTAACAAATTAACCTTCAAACATGAATATCTCCGAATTTTGAAATGATTTGGTTGGGAAATAAACCATCTACTTTTTGGCTGCAGAAACCTAACTGGGATCCTTTTCAAAGGTTTGATTGCCTGCCATGAGAGTGGATAATAATAAAAAGATCAGACATGTGTTCTACAATGGACCAACTTGAGTTTTCTAAAGTTGTATATATAAAGCCATATATGCATGCACTTGTCCGATCCAACGGCCGTAATTCATGCAAAAAAGTTGATGATGATGAGTTTCTATTACTGCTTCTCGATCATTAGGTTTGCAACAATCTTGGAGCTAAAGTAATTTCTTCTTTCCATGCACTCACTAGCCACCCAGCTTCATTGCTTTTTCTTCCTTTGGTTTGGAAAGTCAACCCTAGGGCCATCACGGTTGCACATTCCATTCACTAAGGGTGTGTTTTTTGGAAAGTGGTTATTGGAACAATGAATGCATTTTAGTTTTAGTTGTTGTTCCGAATCTTGTTTGGATAAATTGTAGTTTAAGTGATTGGGGTTGATGGATATATTACGAATGGAGTCGGGCCGATCCGAGAGCACGGAGCAAGAACAGGCCTCGAGACAATGTTACGTGCCCATTCCGCCCGCCTCGGTACAGGACCTCGGCGGACGCCTCGACAGCTGCCACGGCGGGAAGACGCCAGAAAACCTCGACAGCCGCCTCGGCGGGAGATCGGCAGAATACCTCGATAGCCACCTCGGCGGGAGATCGGCAAAGACCTCGACAGGACCTTAGCGTGAGGTCCTGTTGCCTTGGCAGTAGACCTCAGCAGCCGCATCGGCAGGAGGTCGGCAGAGGACCTCGGCACGAGGTCGGCAGCCGACCTCTGCCGCGTTGCCCGGTCTCCAGACCGGGCGCGGTCAAAGCGGGAGACAATCGTCCCCCGAGTTAGGTGGGCAGTTAGGAGGCCCGTGGCTTGTATAAAAGGCCCCTCCTTTGTCCAATTGAGATAAATTCACTACTTTCATTACTATTGTCCTAATCAAGCCTTGTAATAGCTTATTAGCGATATTTAATACAATATACGGTCCCCACGACCTTGCAACGACGCCGTTCTGTCTTTTACTATGTACGTTCTTATCCGGGTTTGATAATCCGGATCACCCCGGGTTCATTAAATCCGTCAGGTGTGTTGAAAATTTTAAATTAGAGAAATTTTATGCGAAAAGGTAAAGAAATTGACGGAAAATGTAATTGGAGTAATTCAACTACTATTTCAATCTTACTGTCACCACTCTAGGTGTTGTCCATTAAGAAGCACAACATGGTTCATAGGATGATAATTGGTTTTAACAAAAGTTTTACTCTTTTTTTTTTTCACAACATCCAATATCTCACACCCACAGAATTTGACTCTTACCCAAGAAAATGTAATGTATATATACACGATCTTGTAGTTCAATGGCACCAAGTTACTTTCTTATATAGGAGGTTGTGGGTTTGAACCTCAGTAGTATTTAAAAAAAAAAAAAAAATTTAAACTTACAGCTGCATTAAGAACTAGCTTAATTTATTAAATGTCCAATCCGTTTTAACATGTTAGGTTTGAACTTTACTATACTCACTATTCAATGTGTACGTTTTGCTTTCGATCTATATGATAAATGAAGTATTTTTTGAATTGCAAACAATTAGTAAGATATATTGTCACCCCTATGGAAGGAAGTGAAATTGGCAAAGAATTATCATGATGACAACGTTTGATTGGTTGACATTCATGAGAGCGACATGCAATGCATCATTATCTCTCACCTCACCTTATGGTCTATACTCTTTAGACAACAATACTTCCCAACATCATTTCTCTATAAATACCCAAATAGCATCCACTATACTCACACATATATATAATCACATCTCCTCCTCTTAGCAATGGGTTATCGTCGTGGCACAACCAAAAATTAACTACCAACTGAAATATAATTGAAAATAGCTAGGTTGGATGATCTCAAGGCCGCTCTTACCCGGAGACTGATGGATGAGGTAAATCACAAGATGTGCCTCAATTGACTATTACTCTATTAGTAAAGAAAAATTAATGAATTTTGTTTTTGGATGGATGACGAGGAAACTCGCAACCATTATTAAAGGTGTGTGTATTGGCAAATAATGTCTTGTGACCCTAGTCGATAAATGACCACAAAGAGGTGAAACACCCTAGGTTTTTTATAGTTGACCGGCTCAAATCAAGAAGGCCAATAGGCTAGTCCCGCTAAAAGTCAAACTTGTAGCCTTATGATAACAAAGTCAACAATCTGACCAACTTGACTAAAATTATCTCAAAACTTTTAAACTTATTTTGAATTAATTAACTTATCTCAAATACTGCACACTAAACCATTGAGCTAAGCCCGTGCGAGTTTGAATTAATTAACTTGAATTGTGTACTTGTACCCCGAGGCTATATA